TAAAATTTATTTTTTTTTTTTTTTTTTTTTTGGCAGGAAATGAGTTTCCAAGAAATGTTCACTTTTGATTTTTGTAGCATGTGGAGTGCAGAGCTACGCTTCACAAAAAAAAAAAATAATAATAAATAAATAAATAAATAAATAATAAATAAAATAAAATAAAATAATTTTTTTTCCTAATTAAGAATAGATTTGGGCCTGGCCGACCTGGGCCAGCCCAAGACTAAATCCACCTCTGAGCATGTGATTTTGCAGAAAGGTCCATCTACAAATATCGTGAAAGAAGTCAATCAATGTGTAAACGATAACAAATATTAAGCCCTTGTTTGAGCCCCATTTTGGTAAAAAAAAAAAAAAACATTTTGCAAAAGTAATTTTTTTTTGATGTTATGTGATTAAAAAGAAAGGAAAAAGTTTCAACTTACGCGTAAAATTATTTTATTGGATAATGTGAGTTTGAAAATGAGTTTTCAAAAAAATGGGATCCATACGTAGATTAAATAAAGAGAAATAACAATGGCTACTCTTCACTTATCAGCCAAAAGCATTTGTTCGTTAGCAAGTATACTGTATATAAATCGTTCATCCTCATTTGGCCTCCATTATTTGGATTTATAAGGAGGGAAATAATGTTTTTTTTTTTTTTTTTTTTTTAAAATGGATATTTTTAAAAAAAAAAAAATTTTTGTTCAAATAATGCCAAAATTTATTTATAGATAAGGTCAGATTCGTGTAACTCGTATCTCGAACCGAACCGTTCTGGGACCGGGTGGACCGGGACATCTCTTCACACTTAGCTTAAAGTAGCAGCACAATAAAAAGTTCATAGACCAACCTACCAACCTTCAGGAAAGAGGATGACAGTTGGAGCACTTCCCTTCCAAGAAAGGAACCCAAACAAACTGTCATCTGCACTCTTCCTAGGCCATTAACAATCACAAAAAATTCCAATTTTCTCTCAAAAATTCCTTGTAAAAAATGGATATCAAGATTTTCTTGATTTCATTCATTCTAACATCACTTATTTTCTCCCTCGTTTACATGCCCACAAAATTAACACAGCCCATCACCATCTTCAGACAAAGCAAAACCTTAATAATACCAAAAAACAGCACCCCATATCCAGTCACTTTTGCTTACTTGATCTCAGCATCCAGTGGAGATACTATGAAGCTAAAACGCCTAATGCTTGCACTCTACCATCCTGGGAATTTTTACCTGATTCATTTGGACAATGGTGCCCCTCAGGTTGAGCATCAAGAAATTTCAAGATTTGTGTCAAGTAATCCTGTTTTTAGTGAAGTTGGGAATGTTTGGATTGTGAAGAAGGGTAATTTAGTCACTTACAGAGGCCCTACTATGCTTGCTACAACACTACATGCAATGTCTATGCTATTGAGGACTGCAAATTGGGATTGGTTTATCAATCTCAGTGCATCTGATTATCCATTAGTAACTCAAGATGGTAAGGTGAGTGCCCTTTTTTCTTTATTTTTTTCTTTTCAAGAAATTGTTGAATAATTTTGGTGTACTCTATTTTCATGTTTTTTCCAGATTTGATCCATTCTTTTTCTGACCTGCCTAGAGATCTAAATTTTATACAGCACAGCAGCCGCTTGGGTTGGAAAATGTAAGATTGTGTTATTTTATTCAGCAATTCCATTTGTACAGGAAACTGTTTTACAGAAATTCACCAAAAATCTCACATTATGCAGGCTTGTGCTATGATAAAAATTCCCAAAAAATCACCCACCCCCGGTGCTATATTTGTTCCCTAGCGTTTCTGTTTGTGCAGTTTCTGTACACGTAACAATGCTTTATTTTATTACCATTATGGTTCGTTGTACTGTCTAGTTGGGTTCAATAGTGTAACACACACGAACTTGTTTATTTTGAATGCTATTATCAATTATTAGTGCATTTTTTTGCAGGAACAAAAGAGGAAAACCAATTATAATAGACCCTGGTTTGTACAGTGTAAATAAATCAGAAATTTGGTGGGTTATCAAGCAAAGAAGTCTGCCTACTGCTTTTAAGCTTTATACAGGTATATATATATAGTTTCTGTCTCTAATTTCTTGTAAATATTTCTGGTTTAGAAAATTTTGGGAGTTATTTGGATCCAAATAAGCAGCACATGTGAACTCTGAACACAATACCCACAAAAAGTACTAAAGTAAATGCCTAAATGGTTTTACTACAAAACCCTGCAAGGCATTTATGTTCCATACCCAGAATAATAAAATATTGCTGTCTGAAAATTATTAAATATAACAAGTAAAATAATAATTGTTTTCTCGATTGCAATATACCGATTTGATGAGCTGAACTTTCGTTAACAAGCTGACCTTACATCGTAACCTTAAAACCTCTCTTTTTTTATGGTTCGACAAAATGACTTCGTAATCTCAACAATCTTTCTTTCTTATCGTAGCGTAGGCCTTCAATACCCTACACGAAAGGTACCAAAGTATATATTCTATTACAAAATTCTGGTATGCCTTTATGTTCCATACTCTAGAATAATAAAGTGTTGCTGTCTGAAAATTATTAAATATAACAATTAAAATAATAATTGTTATCTCGAGTGCAATATACTCAATATACCAAATCATTTTCGACTGTTATAATTGCGGTTTCAGGTAAATGTCTTATTATTATTATTATTATTATTATTATTATTATTATTATTATTATTATTATTATTATTATTATAAATTGACTAAAAAGTCGGTAGCTTACAATTTCGAGAGAGATCTATAATTATCGTTTAAAAAAAAAATAAAAAAATATGTGGCTGTGATTTATGAAAGGTAGATACAAATGTTTGGTTGTGAGTCAAGTTTGGTGGCGATTGATTTTATTACACATTAAAGTCACTTTCAGAATTATAAAACCTTAGAATATGCATTAGGCACACCGATTTACCACCTAAAATATATCACCACTGACTATTCTACCAAAATCTTTTTTTCTTTATAAAAAAAAAATATATTGATTTACTCAACAATTATAGTCCCTAATTCCCTTTTGTCTTCAAATGTATTATTACTTTTACTTATAAGTAAAAAAGACATGTTTTGTAGTACGTATAAAAATACTTCCTTTGTTCTACGAAGATATAGTTCTTTTCATTTTCACACAAATTAATAAATATATAATTGAAAAATAATAATTATTTTTTAACATTTTTTCCAATTATATTCTTACATTAAATAAAGATTTAAAATAGAAGTAATTTTATTTATTGATAATAAAGAACATAAAATAGGAGTATATTAAAAAACTCAGCTATAACTTCAAGAAGCAAAATATCTTATAATTTGGGACAGATAAAAATGAAAAGTAAACATCTTTATGAAGCGATGACAGTCTATTACTTAGAAATCTATGAGGCAGCGTAATCTAAGAAGTGTCACATGGTGATATTTATGAGCACGTGCCTTTTTGATTGGATGTCGGGCCTTCCAGACACAGGTTCATAGATTGTCTCTTGAAATTTGCGAACTTGTGAAAGGTACATTTATTTTCGGGCTCTTATAAATTATACAAAATCCCCACATGACCATTGGCAGCTTATGTTTACAAATTGTTTATATTCAAGTTAATTTTTTATTCATATTTTAAAGGATTCAAAAGTACGACGTGCTTATTGATCAATCATTTGCATCTGTTTATATTTTTGAATAATTTATAAATACTTATTAAACTTGTTATTAAAAGATTTGTTTCTTATTCGTTCTATAAGAGAGAAATTTAATTTCGTTCGAGAGATAATCAGATATAGTTAGAACGGTTGCCTAAATTGAAACAAATATAAAAATTTATTGATTAATTTGAGATATAAATAATTCGATTATCAAAGTAAACAACACTATAATTTTGATAGGAAACCTTTTTTTTTTTTTTTTTTTTTTGTCAATTGTAATCCAGTTCAATATATCAAATGTGTCATAAGTATTATGCACTACTAAATTGCATAATTATAATTTATACCTGCAGGTTCAGCATGGACAGTGTTATCAAGATCCTTTGCTGAATATTGCGTAGTTGGGTGGGACAATCTACCTAGGACTCTTCTTCTTTACTACACAAATTTTGTGTCATCTCCAGAGGGTTATTTTCAGACAGTTATATGCAACTCTCAGGATTACAAGAACACGACGGTAAACCATGATCTTCATTACATCACTTGGGACAACCCTCCAAAGCAGCATCCTAGATCACTTGGATTGAGAGATTATAGAAAACTTGTCCTAAGCAATCGTCCATTTGCCAGGAAGTTCAAGAAAAATGACGTAGTATTGAACAAGATTGATCGTGAACTTCTTAAAAGAGGGTCCAGACAATTTGCTTATGGAGGGTGGTGTTCTAAGGGCGAAGATATTCAACAAAAATGCTCGGAATTGCAGAGTGAAAAATATGGTGTTCTAACGCCAGGTATAGGTTCGAGAAGATTGAAAATTTTGCTAAAAAAATTAATTTCTGCTCAAAATTTCAATAAGCGCCAATGCAAATGATTTAAATTGAGGTGGATTACATATTCATGCGTCTTCATATTTTTGTAAGCTCTTAAATTTTTCATATCTATTTAGCTTTACAATATTAGCAAAAATGTAAATGCTATCAAATCGTGAATCAATAATAATTGAATTACATGAAATTCTTTGTTTCATGATCTAAAACTTTTTCTTTGCATATATGTTTCTGGATACATTTGATACACAATATTGATTTAGGGGATAAGATTAAAATGGATATGATTAAAGTAGATCACGCTATGACAAGGCATTTGTTGCTATTGTTGGGAAATAAGCAAAAATCTAGTCAACAAAACTTGTACTTAAATGTTGACTTTGCAAAATGGACCTCCACGTGGCCAATCGAGAGCAATTCCACGTGTTCCTCCCTGCACACAACAACGCACAGCCGCATACACTTCGACGGTCAAGTCAGTGGTCGATAATCGGAACGGTGCCGAAATTGTGCAAGAGAGTGAGGAGGAGAATATATAATGCTTGAATGTGGAGAGCTTAGTTTAGTATGAGTTTCATTATCTTTGCTCCTCGCCAAACCTTGAGTATTTATAGACGAGGAGCACCGTTAGATGTGGGACACGTGTATGCATCTGACAGCGTGAGACATTTGCTCGTAGGTGTCAATCAGCTACATCTAGAGTGGGCGGGTTATTAATTCTCCTGAGTTGAGTTGACATAAATTTGATGTCACATCACCTAGACCCATGGAGATGTCACATCCATAGGTGATCCTGACATAGATATACTTCTGAAATTGGCGGTGGAGGTGTCTGTTAAGAGAGCACCTCGGATAGCCAAGCACTTCAATCGCTTTAGTAGATTTAGTTTACAAAGTGTGTGCCTTGCAATGCGTTGAGTCGGGGTTCGGCTGAAGTCGACACCACTTCGAAACCACGTCGTTGGGACACGTGGCACTTCGTAGGCAAGAGGGACACTATTGCCGAAGTGATTTAGTGCGGGGTGTAACAGTGGTCTCCCCAAGTTCAGGCATGAGTATTCATATCATGGGTGGACTTGTTTATCTGATTGTGCAGACCTTAAAAGGAAATTTACAGTATCTCGTAAAATGTTAACGTTCAAGCGCGAGGCGAGTAGATGCGTCAAAGGCTTTGTGGGCGGAGTGTATTGTTAAAATCGAAGCGATGGTGATAAGGGCTCGTCTTGGTTGGTAGTTCGTGAAATCGCAAAGGGCAGTTAATTTCTAATCGAGGCGTATGAGCCATGATGCTGGGGGTAATGGAGCTTATCTGCAATTAGTGCGTTGACCCACAGGGGACCACGCGTCGGGAGATGGCTTGAGCTTTGTAAAGCATGGAAACACAGCATTCGAGGTGAAGAACCTTAGGTGCCTTGAAGCTCTGACAAGCTGAAGAAGAAACGTATTTGCAACCGGTAAGTTGACCCATAGGGGACGACGCTTTGGGAGATGGCTTAAACTTTGTAAAGCTTAGAAACACAGCGTCGGAGGCGAAGAATCTCAGGTGCATTGAAGCTATGAAAATTTTTGGAAGAAGCGTATCTGCAACTGGTGCGTTGACCCACAAGAGACGATGCGTTAGGAGATTGCTTAAGCTTTGTAAACCTTGGGAACGCAGTGTCCGAGGCGAAGGACCTCAGGTGCGTTAAAGATGTGAAAAGTTGAGGAAGAAGCGTATATATAACCGGTGCATTGACCCACAAGGGACGACGAGTAGGGAGATGGCTTAAGCTTTGTAAAGCTTGAAAACGCAGCGTCCGAGACGAAGAACCTCAGGTGCGTTTAAGCTCTAAAAATCTAAGAAAAAAGCGTATCTGCAACCGGTGTGTTGACCCACGGGGGATGACGCGTGGGGAGATGGCTTAAACTTTGTAAAGCTTGGAAATGCAGCATCCGAGGCGAAGAACCTCAGGTGCGTTGAAGCTCTGAAAAGCTGAGAAGTGCTTGATCCGAGGTGAATTGGGATAGCTTGTCCTTGATCTGAAGCGTCTTATTATGACTTTAATCGATGTGACAGCTGTCGTGTATTTCCAAGGCGACAGTTGGATGTGATGCATGTTCCCAGAAAAAGGGCTGTTGCAGTTACTTATTGTTGATGATTGTTGTTGTTCGAGGTGACGCGTTTTATGCGTGCGTGAGGGACACAATCAGATCTTGGGCATTGATCAAATTTGGCTTTTCATTTCAACGGTCTAGACTTGTGATAAGAAGAACGACCTAAATTGACATTGTTTGAATTCAATGGTGGGGATCGTCTGAGGTTTCCTATAAAATGAGGACTCAGTGTCATTCCAACGTTTTTACTTTTGCACTCAGAGAATCCGTCCTGCTCTCAAATTCTTTGGTGATTTTCGACGATTTTGAGTCTTTCAATGATCTCGGTGACCGCTTAAGGTGTTGGTTTGAGCTTTTCGGCATTATGACAATAATCCCGGTCGACTTTCGTAAGCATTCTTGAGTTTTTCACAATTTTTTCAAAAAATATGGCCTCTGAGGGTAGTGGGTCGTCTGGGAGGGAGTTGGAAATAGTGAGGGTGGACCAGCCTATATTGGCGACCTCTTCGAAATTGTCTCAGGCGATATTGGGAGGGGAAAACATTTGGAAGAGAACTGATAGTCTGATAGACACTTCTATACACTGTAGGGACATCTAACTACCCTTCTAAACTCATGTCTGCTGACCTTGATAGACTTAGGAAGGAGTACAGGATCCCAGACAATGTGGGTCTGATTTTGCCAGAGCTGGACGAGCGGGCATGTTATCCCAGGTCAAGGTGTGTCGCCATTAGTGAGGCCATTCTCAGGGTGGGGCTTAAGTTACCCATCCATTCATTCTTTAGGTACCTCCTGAGGTCGTATGGTTTAGCTCCAACCCTGTTAAACCCAAATTCTTGGAGCCAAATGGTGGGGTCGTGGATGTTGTGGAAGGAGACATCTTACGGGAAGGAAATGTCCTTTTCCATCTTCCAGACCATGTATATACCTAAGGTTGCAGCTAGGGAGATAAAACGAAGGGGTGGTATTACTTGACCTCCTAAGGGGCCCTACTCCATTCGTTATCGACCTGTCGAGCTCCATAAAAGACTGGAAGAGTTTGTGGTACTGGGCTTCAGGAAGGTGGGATACGATGGAGGGGGATCTCCTGGCACCCCTGACAGCACCAACAAAATACTCAACTCTTAGTGAGTACTGAAACTACGGATTTACTTGCATATCCATCCGTTTTGGTTTAGAATTTAACTTGTCTTTTCATGCAGGTAAACTTCCTCGGTGCGAGTTGTCTACAAAAGACTTCGACACCATCTGCATCGTATTTCATCTTCCTCCAAAGAGGAGATCTTATAACGAGTTGATAAGGAAGAATATTCATTTTGTGTAGCACGAGCTAATGGCCTCCTAGGGTGAGTGTAGAGGTTACATTATTACAGTCTATGGTTGAAGTATTCATACTTTGACTGATTTTTTTGTTTTGTTGCAAATGGTTTCAACAAGAAGAGGCCTCTGAAGCTAGATTTTAAAACAATCCAACGGATGATAGCCGAAGTGAAGGCCTTGAAGACCTCCTCATCGGCCTATAAGAAATAGACGGAGGACCTAGTGGCTACAAGCAAAAGGCTCCAGCCAGTGGTCTTCGAGGAGGAGGATCCTAGGGCTTCTCTGTTGAGGAGGGGTAAGAAGGCCACCGGGCCGTCGGTAAAGGGGCCTTCAGTGGCCAGGCCTGTCCCATCACTTCGCCAGACAACGATCCCCACTGGGATTGCAATAAGGGGAAAAGTGGCTCCTCCTCCTGAGGCGTTTGTTGCTGCTTCAGTTCTGGCCACTCCAATAGCCCAAGTGCCAGGTTAGCCGAAGAGGAAGAGGGCTCGACAGGAGAAGGAGGTGGACTTCCTGAGCATGAATGACGAAGAGCCAGTTAAGGAGGTGTTGAAAGCTCCGTCTTTAGAAACTGCTGCAGTGGCACTGGTCCACAGCAGGTATTGGACTGAGGCGTGGAAAGACCACACGACCTCGTGCACTGCGGAGAACTTGGTCGCAGCGAACAGTGCCTGCCTTGCTCGAGCCCTCAACACCAACATCCAGCTAGAGGGTTTGGTAAAGGACCTCCGAGCCAAGAATGTGGATCTGGCTCAGCGGCTGGAGGCAAACCTTCTCTATGGGGAGGCTATCCAAGCTGCTGAGGTGAAGGCTTCAGAGGTGGAGCGTCAGCGGACCGACGCAGTTGAGGAAAGCCACTACTGACATGGAGGGGCTGAAGAAGGACCTCCACGAAGTGGAATGCCAGGTGGCTGCTCTTACTAGGCGACTTGATCACGCCAGTGAGCACCATCGTTTGACAACGGAGGTTTTGGAGGCCTCAAATAAGGAGAAGGCCGAGCTGAGGCAGCGGGCGGAGGCCTAGGTTGAGGAGATCGGCTCCCTCAAGGAGGAAGTGAAGGCGGCATGGAAGTCAGCAATGCAACACTTCATCGATCACTTGGAGAAGCACCCCCTTTGTGATACCGGTGCTAACTTCTAGGCCTCATGGAACGCCTAGGCGATGCTGAAACACCTAAAGGAGGTTCACCCAATACTGGACATTTTTGCCCTGGAAGCAAAGTTCGATGGACCGACAGGAGGTCCGCCAGACATTGCTGCAGAGGAACCTCAGGAGGCCGAAGTAGCCCCGATGGAGGAGCTCGTAGTGCATGTAGATTAGGATTTTGAATGTAATGGCTCCGGCCCATTTTGTAATCTATTTGATGTTAATGAAATGAATTTTTTTGCCAAGTGTTGATACTTGTTTCCTTTGTGCTGAACTGTTTATTCTGTTACAACTTGATCGCTGCTTAAATTAATAATACTAACCATCAATAAATGGTTGAGGCGAACAATGAAAATCCATATAATATAGCGAACTGAAGATTCAAATAACTTGAATTCAACAATCATACACTAAGGCAATCCAAGTGGTTAGTCAGATAGGAACAAGTTACAATTTGTAGGTCATAATCAGATCGGATCGAACACACATTGATTTATTGGTAATACTT